ACTGTTTGGCAACTATTTGGGGACAAATTAATATGAAACAGATCAATGGACCCAGGCATGATTAAATACCTGTAATCCTGGCACGCTGGGGGGACCTGTGTTGGGGGAGAACACTGAGGTAGGAGGATCACAAGTTCCAGCTCAGCCTGGGTGGTTTAGTGACTTAGCAAGACCTTGTCTCAAAAATATAAAGGGCTGAGGACATAGTTCAGTGTTAAAACCCTAAGTTCAACCCACAGCACTGGGGGAAACAAAGCAGGCTGATGATTACATATATATTTAATAAAAAAAAAAGTGCTCACTTTTGGGTACCTGGCAATACTTTATCAAAGCAATGTTTTAAATATATTATAATTCGGGCTGGGGATTTAGCTCAGCGGCAAAGCGCCTGCCTGGCAAGCGCAAGGTCGTGAGTTCGGTTCCCGGTACCGGAGAAAAACCAAAAAAACAAAAAAACAAAAATAAATATATTATAATTCTTTAGGATATATCAGTAGCTACTAGATTTTTTTACCCTTTGCATTAGGATCAATTATAAACTATTAGATTTTATTTACCTGGATGTTCTATATGAGTAATTTTTATATCAAAATAAATTTTTAAATATGCTTTGAGGCCATTGTTAGAGGATCAGAAATACAGATTAGACATAAGAAGTTCTCTCAAGAAGCTTATAATCTAATAATCATGGAGCTTATATGCCTTTTATCTTTCACCACTGTATGCTTTACCATGCTTTCTCTCTTAAGTAGTATGGTTAAACCCAGGTATAGTTATAATATGGTTCTTCACAACCTTTACCCTATTGTTAATTCAGGCTAATTAAAAAAGACGAAAAAAGAAATCTCCTTTGACTGTAGGCTACAAGAGTATAGCCACAAGGCCAATGCTTTTGCTGGAATGGGACTGTGTAGTGTAGGCCCTAAACTAATGGTTTCTGGGAAAAACATGAAAGCCATGATTTAAATGGAAAAAGCTCCTGGAAGACAGCATTGTTTGGGTACTGCCTTCCTGGCCTGCTCCCTAACACTGGATACCATAGTTCCACATACACTTGTAAGCTAGATCCAGGCCTGAGCTCAATCATATCTTTTTTTTTTTTTTTTTGGTTTTTCTCTGGTACCGGGAACCGAACTCACGACCTTGCGCTTGCCAGGCAGGCGCTTCGCCGCTGAGCTAAATCCCCAGCCCCTCAACCATATCTTTAATAAATGGAATAAAGGCTAACAAAGGAAGAAAATGGATACTCACTTCTTATATGAGAAATTGGCAGTTTTCTAAAGAGTAACCAAAACATAAAAACTAAAACATGAGTATAAAGGGATTATAAACATTTTAAATGGGACTATTATGTCTAGTATGCATTATGTATAGACTGCTCTAGCCAGATGTGGTGGCGCAGTTCGAGGTCAGCCTAGGATACAAAGTGAACTCAAGGCCAGCCTGAACTGCATAGCGAGACCCTGTCTCAAAAAGACAAAAAAAAAAAAAAAAAAAAAAAAGAAGAAGAAGACTAAATACAATAGGCTGTGCTCTAAACAAATTTCAGATTGCTCCTCAGTATGGCATTGCCGAGTTTTCTCCTAGGCCACAGGTGGGAGAGTAAGTATACATCCTCCATCCAGCCGGCTGTTTCATTGACTACTTCCAGTTCTTAGGAGGTAAGCTCCATGACCTTCAGGAATCAAGCTTGTTAGGTAAATGTTTGACAGTGCCTAATGTGAGTGACAAAAAAAAAAAGAATGGGGGCACTTTGGAAAGCCCAAAGGACTTGAATTAACAAACAAAAACAAACTGTAGGTTAAACACAACATCGCTGTGGACGCAATTCCCTGCCATACCTCACCTGTTTTTTGAAGTTTCTGTCTTACCTTTCCTGCCTGAACTTTCACCCTTGCTAACTTGATCCCACCCTATTCCTCTGCTCTTTCTCAATAAAAGAGCCTACTTTTTTCTCAGCATGGATAGCATCATGTTAATTCAGAATTAGTGACAATTCTGTTTTTTTATATCCTATACTATTTATTGTTAACAATCAGCCTCTCACCCCCGCTCCACCCCTCTGTTTCCCTTTGAACAGTGTAACAAAAGCTTCATGAAAGAAACCCTGTTCTGAGCTGTGGGCGGGGAGCGCCAGCCTTCGGGCTGGATAGCTTTCTGCCTGCTGGCTCCCAGAGGGTGGGCCCCCAGCGCACGGGGAGCCATGCGGCGGCAAGCGCTATTGCGCGCCGGCCCTTAGGCCGGCCGCCGCCGCCCAATTGGAATCTATCATGACCCAGAGAAACAGTGATACAATTGGCCCATCATGCACCGACTGCAGTTGCCCACCCACGGATGTATGTAAATCATTGAAACTTTGAACAACCCCTGGGAATATATGCCATACAACGAGCCACTCTTGCTCCTGCCATTG